AAAAAAAAAAAAAAAAAAAAAAAAAAATCGAAAGAAAAAAAACAACAAAAACACGAAACATACATTAACGTAATTAAATTAATCTTCGCTTTGGTTTTTTAGAAACCATCAAACAAAGCAATAATCAGTTAATTAAAATATTTAAAGAGAGAAATTTTAAGGAGATTCTAAATACGAAACAGATTTGCACACTGTATGTATTAGTAGTTAATATGTATCTACGTTTAAATACACACTTTTAATTATTATTCGCACACACTTATAATATATACATATATCTATATATGTAATAAAGTATATATACAAAATAATAATATATATATAAAGTATCGATTACAAATGTAAAATCAAAATATTGTAATTACAAAAAAAAAAAAAAAAAATTGTAAATGTTTTTAAAAATAAATTCCGTTGAAGCGGATTTAGTAGAGTTTAATTTAATAAAAAAAAAAACGATTGTGTGTGCGTGCATGCGTATATGTATGTATGATTGTGTAATGAGTATAAACAAATGTTTGATTGTACATAGATTCATATCGTTTTGTTTATTCACACAAAATAAATAAATGTACATATCTCACCCACATTTATAAAACTATGTTTTATTCATGGAGCGTTGCTCTTTAAAGCGGCTAATGCGCTTCTTCGGCGTATGTACATCTATAAACTTGCCCTTGGGCAATGGCTCCGGTGCCAGCGTTGGTTCCTTCTCAATCAGATCCTGCATGACCTTCTGATAGGCACTCATGTCCCGCAGATCATCATCGATGGTTCTCTCCTTCTTGGCCTTACGAGATTTATTCTTTTTGGATTTGCTGCTGTTTGATGGATTTGGATTCTCCTTGGGCTTTTCGGTTACAGCATGGACTTCGCGCTCCACAGCTGATTTGTTGCGCAATATAGATTTCGTTTCTAAGTCTACTGAAGCGGCATCTGAGCTAATGCCGGACTCGGCCGACGGATTGTTGAACTACAAATTTAAAGCGATTAGGTGGAAGTTTATTAATATTTTTATCTTCTTCTACTCACCTGCTTGCGTGGGTCATCATAGGCACTTGCACGGTCCTCCTCCTTGATGATGGGCACCTTTAAGTCCTCCTCGCCCTCAAAGCCGTTCACAAAAATCGGAAAGGAGTACTTCTCCTGGGCTTTCTTGTAGAGCTCATATAACTGGGCTGGAGTGCCCGGCGTTTCAGTATCATCAGTTGTAGTTGGAGTAGCTGGCAGCGCGTCAGAATGAGTAAAGCTTATGTGTAGGGTATTAATTCTGCCTGTTGATGCTTCTAGTATTTGATTTACCAAATCAAAATCCTGCACACTTTGATTTTGCTGTACAAACTCCAAATTCTCTTCAACCTTTTGCATAATCTGTGAATTGGAATGCTTTTCTGTGTCCAGCTTTAGCTCCACTGTCTGCTGTGACAGCACTAACGAATCATCCAGTTTAATAACTTCTCTTTGTTGGCGTTGTTTGCCATTGATCAACATTTCGGCAACGGTTTCTTCCTTTTTGAAAAGCAGCTCTTCGTCGGCTGTAGCGAAAGAGATGCGTCGCTTTTTATTGTCGAGCGTGGAGACGGATTCTGATTCTTCTGACAGTTCATCTGTGTTCGCTGCTTCTGTTTGCTCGAACAGCAGTTCCTGCAAATCATCTTCCAGACAGACAAGAACATTCATCAAATGTGTCAATTCATCACTGGCAAAGGAGACTTTCTGTATTTTACGCATTTTCGCTTTGATTATTTGTAATTGTGAATTTAAAAACTCCTGTCGCTCTTCAATGGGCAACAGCTGCATTTCTTGCCTTATTAACTTCACTTCCTCAGGCTGATCCTCTTCATCTTCATCATTATCTTCGTCCTCTTCTTCTGTTGAAATGTTTTGGATTCCGCTCAAGCTTAGCTCTGCTTGATTCTCATCTTCATTATTATTATTATCTTCTTCCACTTTTGAAATTCTTTTCGATCCGCTTAAGCGCAGCTCAGGCTGATCCTCATATTTTTCATGTTCATCTTTTTTTGAAATGGTTTTGATTCCGCTTAGGCGTTGTTTTGCAGGTGTCACCTGCGTTTGTCCACTCATTAGATTGCGCACCATTTCATTTGTGCTCTGAACATTTTGCTCAATTTCTTTATCGACATCTGCTGCGTCATTCGCCTCCTGAGCTTCCAATTTGGCAAGCATGTCGAATATCTCCTCATCCGTCTTAGTTGTTGAATTTTCTTTATCACAGTCTGTTTTTTCTTTTGGTGCTTCTTTGGGAAGCAATTCGCTAAGCGTTTGCTCACTGAAATTATCTGGATCCAGGCCCAGTTCTTCCATTAGTTCACGTTCCTCTAGCTTTTGGAACACATCATTCTGCGCATTGGCTGCCTTGGATTGTTCTCGTTGCGCACGTTCCGCTAGCTTTTCCTTGCGCACGCGCGCTTTGTGTTCTTTAAGCCAATTATTGTGATCTGCCTCATTGTATTCCTCCACTATTTCAATTTCATCAGATTTGGGCATAGCGCCTTCCAGGATTGGTGTTTCTAGATTTTTTCTGCACAACATATACATTAGAATATTAAGCAATTATCAAATGTTTACTCAACTTACTGCCACAAGTCCGCCTCCACTTGCAGTTTTCTTAGGTGCTCGTTGGCCAGCCTCCAGCGATGCTGGCATATCTCCTCCGCCCTATAAGCCGAGCAAGCAGAAAAGTAGCCTTGGTAGTGACCAACGAGCACTTCATTCGTGTGTATCAATTCTCCCGGCATCAAAGCCTTTTTCCCAATTGGCACCATAACCTCGACGGAAAGACTTTTAGCGAACATATTCAAGTTCTCTATGGCGACTTCATTGTCGGCTTTATAAGCTAGCCAACGCTCCGTTTCATATGCATTCTTGTCGAGTGCCTAAAATATTATTTAAATTGTATTATTTTACAAAATATTTAAATAATTTGTTACTTGTCTAAGCACATCCTCGCGCCGCTCCATCGTTGTTTATGAAAGAAACCTATCGATAATTGATTCGCGATTACCTATCATTTGAGAATAGCAAATCAAGTGTGACCGTTCTTTTTAAATACAAAATGGGTTGCGAAACTGAATATTTAAAATATTGAGCGGTCTCATTTGTGATGTACTTTCCAAAAAAGATAACAGAAAACGTGGCAAAGCTTTGACTAAAACAAAAATGTTTAAGAGATAGGTAAATAATAAAACAGCAATAAAGACACCCAACTAGATAAGATATGGCCACCAATTATTCTAATTGACTTATTGTACATTAAACAAAGACCCAGTTACCAATATAAACAATAGAAAACAATTAGAACTGCAATTTGATTGTTTTGCACTTTATTCAGTTTTAATTTACTTTTTACAAGCTCACTCTGTTAAAAATTAAAAAAAAAAAAAAAAACGCACACCACACTTCACGCGCACTGTGGTTCATTTGGATGTGTTCTACAAAAATCATGAAACGTTTTCAACGTTACATGCAACAATGTAATTTTACAGGATCTACTTAAATAGAGTACACATCTACATCTATATATAGTTAAGCTTAGTTCACATTCGTTTTCCTGTGTACATTGGCATTGTTGCAAAATTGTCTAGTCTTGTATTCACGCGTGCTTCAAAATCATACATACAAAATATACATAGCTACAAAGCTTTTCATTTTTCTCCTTCCCATTGGAATTTATTCGTTGTAATTGTTTTTGCTGTCGCTGTTGCTGTCGTGACTGCTGAAACTGTATGGCTCTGGTTTTTATTTACGTTGTGCATTCTTGGCTCCCGCATTTAGCAAATTATTCGAAGCAGCATTATCGAGCGAAGGAAAGTTCTTTGACAGCTCATGCGCTTTTTGATGACTGGCCAAATCATTGGGCAAAACGATTTGTTTACAGCTTCTGCACACTTCGAGCTGAGGCAGTAATTTACTCTGGCTGGGTGGCAAACTGTTCACATGTTGTTTATGCACCAAATACAATTCCTAAAACAAACAATCATTCGAATTAGCATTAATTAAAGTGATTTGATTTCAAATAAACAAAAACTGTATAGAAACCTGCTGTTTGCCAATATCGGGTAACATGGCTAAGAGCTCCGGATAGAGACTTTGGAACTTGTCCGACATGGCGCTTTGGCAATGCTCGTAGTAGGCTTGAGCCGTACAGGTGCCATCACGAAAGCTGGACGAAAGCAAGCGAAATTCATTAAAGGCCTCGGGTGTTTTTAGTACCTTACACAGCTGATCCACTAGGTTCTGAAAGCAATTTGAAAGAATATATACATTGCATATATATACATCGAAATTTAAGTTCTGCTTACCTGATTCCGGATTGCTGCATCGGGTGGATCAATATAGCAATTGGCACTAGGCACAATGCTATAATTCTCGCCCAAGGAAGAGGTGAAAGTCAAATTGTTGGGCAGTTTAGCCACCGAGTTGACAGTTACATTTGACATGAAACCAGGAGGTGGTTTAATGGGTGGTGCAGCAAGTCCGGGTGGTGCACGCAATGGCCCTGATAAGTTGCCATTCGAAGTTGGCAGCTGCTGCTGTTGTGGCTGCTGCTGCTGCTTATCGATGTTATTGTTATTATTATTGTTATTGTTATTTGTATTGTTGTTGTTCTTCTCCTTCTGCTTGTTGTTCACTTTAGGCTGATTCTCTTGATTGTTCTTCTTCTCTTTGGGCTTCTTCTCCTTCTTGTTGTTCTCCGGCTGTTGCTTTGGCTCTTGTTTGTTAATGTTGTTCGTTTTATTGTTATTTAAACTAGTCGCGCTGCTACCTCTCGATGTTGGCAAAATGGGAGCTGGAGCCACTTTACTCTTGCGATTCTCCAAATCCTTTTGCTTCTTCTCTGACACTGGCTTCGTCCAGTTGAGAGAGCCCGCTGAGCCACCATTATTGGGCTTAGATGTTGTTGTTGCCGTTGCTGCTTTTGAGCTGCTTGGCGCAAGCGTTGGAAACTCGGCTGCCGTCAGTTTGGGTGCACTCTTCTTTAGCGCCTCTTGACGTGCCTTAGCCTCTAGTTCTTCCTTTTGTACCATTTGTATCTTCTGATAGGTGCTCGGATGTGCCACGGAAACATAGTCATCGACGAGAGTACGATGCTTGGCAGCCACATTGTTCAAGGGCATGGCCGCGCCGGGCAACATATCTTCTTCCAAATTGCGCGCCTTTTTTCCCTTGCCCATGGGCAAGGCGGGAAAGTCCATTTCCGGGCCTGCTGATTTCTTGCTGTTATTATTGGCCGCAGGTCGATTCGAGACATGCAACAGCATTCCATTAGCCGGTGCATTGGCACGCGTTACAGATCCCCCAGTGCTCGCGGCTGAAGTAGACGCCTTCTTAAAGGTAGTCGCAGCAGGTTGAGGCTGAGCTCGTGCGTTAGCATAGCTGCTATTATACACGTTCGATATGCTGCCACCAGCTGCCCCGCCAAGAGCTGGAAAGTTTTCTTTAGTGCGAGCCAGACCCGAGGTGCCGCTTAAATTACGCATCGACGGTGGCGGCGCTCTCACCAAAGAGACATTCGGTCCAGGCGTAATGCCGGCAAGCTGAGGGAACTCATCCTCGTTGCCAGCATCTATTGTAATAGGATGGTTTCGCTGTGAGCTACTTGAGGGCAATTCATCCAAATAATCCAGATGCTCCTCATTGCTAGAATAAAAATGTATATATTTATTTAAAAGTGAAAGGGGAATAATATTGGGGAAACTCACCGTGATCTCATATTTGTTATGCCTTGATCGTTGGGGCCCCGTGCACGCCCACGTGGTCCAAGCGTAATCTCCAGTTGTAAGGTGCGCGTCTGCTTGGCCTGTTGTTTGTTCAGCGTTTTGCCATGCACACTCGCTACGTGAGCTTTATATTCAATCTCGTTGCGGAAGGCGCCCGTAAACTCCTCCGTTGCGCATTTGCCTTCCTCGCAAAGGAAATGTTCCTTGCGAAAATGATCAGCCAAGTCGGCATAGACACTGCATTAGATAAGGTAATATAAGAGCGTCAGGGATAAGGGGAGATATGAATGGACAACGGGTTTTTACTCACTTATAGAAATCGTTGCAGCCATCTGCATCGCAGAAATGACAAAAGTAATGATCTCTTCGCAAATGCCTGAAGAGCTCATCTCGATCCACGTAGCGCTTGTTGCAATACTCGCAGAGCGGATGACCCCGATGCGAAGTATTGTCCGGGTCTCCTTTGGTATTGTGTATTGTCAGCTCAGCCTGCGTGTAGCAGCGCCTCTCGAATGTAAAGATCTTCAAGTTCTTCACGCACAAGTCGCAGAAATACATATGATGCTCGCGTTGCACATGATTACGCAGAGCCTCAAACGTGCGATACGGTTGCACATTACACCTATTTTATTTCATTTTAATGAACGACTAATAAATCAAGGGCAACTAATAAACTTACTGCGAGCATGGATGATCTAACAGCTTATAGAATTTCTGTTGTATGTCTGCAGTGCAGAAACCAATGCGATATTTTTTGCTGTAGAAATCGGAGCGATTGCCAGCTTCAAGTTCGCGATAAGGCAGCTTTTCCAATGTAAACAGTACCTAAGTAGTGTAGGCAAAAAAAAAAAAAAAAGGTTATATATAGCAGATGTTTTTACAATATATAGACATTTCTATGGGTGCCTTACCTTGTTCAGCACATGGCGACAGATGGGGCATTCGTTTTGCTGGCAAAGGACTCTCATACGCGTGGAGCACTCGTAACAAACAGGATGATCGCAGTCGCCAATTGAATAGATTTCAACATTTTTAAAGCAAACGACGCACGCGTTATCATCATTACCCGGTTGACAATTAAGAGCTTCCGCTTTGGGTTCGCTTGCCTTGACATTAGCTGATTGTCCAGCAGCTGGCCGACGATGCGGCTTATAGGAGGAGCCTCTCGGTCTTGAATTTTGCATGGCAATGATTCAGGGGAGATTTCTACTTGTTGCCAAACGAACGAAAGGAAAAAGACACCTGCAGCAAGTCTATTTTTTTCGAACACTGTATGGTGTGTGTGTTTGAGAATATTATTTAAGTGATTTGTAAGCGTATTGTATAGTATGCACAATGCACTTTAAGCATCAATCTACCGTCGGTTATTCCGAAAATTATTATTCCACAAATTGATGCGACGACTTACAATTTCTCTGGATTTTTGTCAGCGTGGAGTGCGATAGAACTACTATCACTCGATTGGGTTGCGAACAATTAATCGAGTATCTTCTGTTTGGTATTTATACGGTCTGATTATACACAATTCAAAGAATACTGTTGGTACCATAAATTAAATCAAAATAATTGAGACAGACGTAAAAATAAGTTGTAATTTTGTATTTGGTGTAATTTTTCGAAACATAATTTTGTGACACATTGTATGGAGTTTTTATTTAAATTCGATCAGTTTGTTGGCAAGTCGCAAGTATTTAGTTTGGTATTTTATTGGCATGGCCATCAATCTGGCAACGCTACCGAAGCAGAATGTTCGCCGAAATTGCAAGGAGCTCATATATAGCTTTCTCACGTGTACTTGGTAGGCGTTTGTTTCAACCGACTTGTGCGGCGTCAGCAAAACAGTTGTGCACCAGTTATAGATTTATTCAAGCCCAAAGTTTACGGAAAAAATCTGAAAAAATGCCGATGTTTGAAACAATTGCTAAAGGCAATATAAATTCGCCGGACTATGCCCTTTATTTCAGTAAGTATGCAAAATTAAATAAAACAGAATATGCATTTTTGTGCGGAAGTGTAATTAGATGAAATAAAAGAATACAATATACAACAATCTATTAAAATAAATTAATTATGCAACAAGTTGCCGCAAATTAACAGACGTTGCTTTATCAGTAAGTTCAAGCGGCCGGCTGTGACACTGAACAAGGTGACTCAAGCAGCGAACTATGGACTTCAAAATTTTCTTACTTCCTTTGATTAGAAATATATAGTCAATAATATTTATATCAAGTAAGATATTTAATCACTTATCAATGGGCTGCACCTGCCTCTTTGTTGTATACTTTAAATAATCAAACGATTGCGTGTCGCGTTATTAATTACCTTTCTAGCAATTACTCTGTTCTCCTCTTTCCCCAATGGTTCGCTTTATATCTGATCTCTTTCATCCATAGAAAACAATTGCGGCAATGTCATTTCGCCAATGCACGATATTCCGTTATACGCCAATGATGACAAGACCATCTATAACATGGTCGTGGAGGTGCCACGTTGGACAAACGCCAAAATGGAGGTAAGGTGTCCCAACCATGATTGATCGAAAAATCATCTAGTCATCATTATCAGGAATTTGATAAACACATAAATCGCGTGTTGCTTTATTTATATTGCAGATTAGCTTGAAAACGCCTTTGAATCCCATTAAGCAGGACATTAAGAAGGGTAAACTACGTTTTGTCGCTAATTGCTTTCCACACAAAGGCTACATTTGGAATTATGGCGCTCTGCCACAGACCTGGGAGAATCCCAACCACATTGAACCCTCCACTGGCTGCAAGGGTGACAATGATCCCATAGATGTTATTGAAATCGGCTATCGTGTGGCCAAACGCGGCGAGGTGCTGCAAGTTAAGGTCCTCGGCGCCATTGCACTGATCGATGAGGGCGAAACCGATTGGAAGATCATTGCAATCGATGTAAAGGATCCGTTGGCATCAAAGCTTAACGATGTATCCGATATAGATCAATATTTCCCAGGTCTATTGCGCGCCACCGTTGAGTGGTTTAAGGTAACGTAAATATATACTCATTTCTCTTTATATTTGTGTGCATTAAAGTAATGCTATCCCTCTTGACTTTGTTTAGATCTACAAAATACCCGATGGCAAGCCAGAGAATCAATTTGCATTCAATGGTGATGCAAAGAACTCGGACTTTGCCACCTCGATCATTGCAGAGACACACAAGTTCTGGCAATCACTGATCAATCAATCCAATGTGGGCGCACCCGATATCGCCTGGTTTGTTTGCATCTACTAGTCTATATATCATTTACTGATGCTTACATATTTGCAGTCAAAACATTACCAATCGCAATTCCGAATTCGTTATTGGAAAGGAGGAATCATTGAAGATTCTTCAAGAGGCACCTGATGGAGGGGAAGTGGAGGAGGTACTTGATACAGGTAAGGTTTTCTATGTACGCGCTAAGCTTTAACACTCCCCAAAAACAAACCTTCCCCCCGCACACAAATTGGATACAAAACTCCAAAAAATACTGCATGCGCTTTACTAATCAATGCCATACAAATACCAAAAATATACATTTAAGGAAAATACCGCATTGAATTAAGATGTGATGTATGCAAATATAATAACGATTTTTTGTAATTGGCTGTGGATTTTGTTCTATTTACTATGGGGCTCTTATATACATAAAATAAATTATATATTGTATATATCTTTTATAGAAAACTGTTCATTCTTGAATTTTCTCTCTTGTCTTACAGTCGACACTTGGCATTTCATACATCTCAAGTAAATTTGCAGAATTATCCAAGATATAAAATCGAAATGATGTAAAACTTTGATATTGGAAAGCCTCACAAGTGAATACAGATATTTATATAAATATGTTGAATAAAAAGCACACCCAAATATATATGGAAATGAAAGCAAAACTTTGAAATACTCTCTCCACTTGAAATATACAGTTGTTTTTATTTATATTTTACGACTAGATCCAAACAAGTTTAAATTAATTAGGGTTACATATAATGTAATATCGAAATTTGCTGTATGGTATGTGTGTGTGTGTGTAGATTTTTAATGAATTAATTTTCTTCGCGAAATTAAACGTAACAAATTAAATTAAATTACTTAAATGATAGACAAAAATTTACAAAATATATAGTTTATATAATATATATATATGTGTATGTATATTGAAAAAAAAAAGTTTATTTAAAATTATTTACATCAGACATTGAATATACTGTTTTTTTTTTGTCCTTTGCTTGTGCAACTAAATAGAAAAATTAAAAATACATATACATATACATATATAAACGTTATAAACTAAACCTAAATCGGGGGGCCCTACGACGAAAAACAATTGTACAAAATAGGGGTTTATCTAAAACGTAGTAAACCGAATAGAACTATGCGAAGAAAACTGTTGACACTCGTCATATTATAATCGATTATATTTATTTATGAGTTATATATTATATATGTATATATATTTTGCATATATATAATTAGTTTTTTGTTTACTTAAATATAATTCGCGTATTCGCTGTGATAATTTTTAGACGATTGTTGTATATGTTGCTGTGATCTCTCTGTATGTATGTATGTATGTGTGGGTGTATGAGTGTGTGTGTAAATAGCATAATATTTAAATATGTTGTATAGTATATAGGTAGTAGTAGTAATATGCGTTCAGCTATAGCTTTACTCTTCACGTATTGCCCGTCCGTCTCGTTTCGTTTCATTCCGTTTTGTTTCGTTCCGTCCACACTTTACTTGCGTCCCAGGGTATCGCGCCATTCGTTATATTTGTCCATATCCTCGTGCAGCTGCAGCGCCTCAACGCAGGCATTGAAGAACGGCGATCCGAAGCAGTCTTGCCTGTATATATATGTATATAAAGAAGTATAGCATTAGTTGGCGAACTCCACAAGGTTTTCCAAGGCTTTTATGCTCGCACAATTATGTGCAGCCAAAATGCAAAAAGTTTGTGTTTAAAAATTCGTTTTTGTTGGCCAGTGCAAACAGCCAAAAAAAATGCAAAAACATTGCCGCCTGCACATTCACAAAAAAGAGGGCAACAAAAACCAAAATCGTAAACAAAAAAGGTAAATAAATATAATGTGAAACTAAAAAATAACCTACCACAAAATAAAAACGGTAAGCATGCGTTTTTAGTCGCGTCGGAAACGCGTCAAATATTGACGACAGCTGCGCGCTGCACTTGTTGCTGCTCTTTTTCTCTCTCACTCTCGTTCTCTTGGCGCTTAGCTCTTTGCTTTTCATGCGCTCTCGTTGTTATAATTTTTCTTGCATTTGTTTTATTGTTGCGCTCTCCCTTGGTCAGTGCCGCACTCTAATTTTCATTTATCACAATTTTGGATGCCCTCAAATAGCCAGCGATGATTTGTTGTTCATTATTTTTAACATAATAATTAATAATTGATTTTTTTTTGTCTGCATTTGTAATGCATTTTGTTTTTGTTCGTTTTTGCGTATTTTTTACCAAAGGGTTTTTTTTTTTTTGTTTTGCTTGTGTTTTGCACAAATTGCGTTCTAGACTAAAATATTTATCGTGAATATCTAAATATGTATATATTTTTGTGTGTATGTGTTTTTGCCAACAAATTTTACGCTAATTATGGTTTAAATCTTTACAAAATACCACAAAAAATTTGAATACATTTGCAAAATACTTTTGGTCTAGGTGCTTGTGTTTGTGTTAGAATGTGTGTGTGTGAGTGTTTCTGTGTGTGAGTGAATGTATTTTATTTTGCTCTGTTGATGTAAATGCTGCCTGGAATACGCGATATTTAGATATATATATTTTTTCTTTTTTAATATAATAGCAAAAAAATAATAATTATACATTAAATAAGTATATATATATATGTATATATATATTAAAAACAATGGATCTTTTATTTTACATAGATAACGCAATAATAAACAAGCTAAGAATACTTAAAAAATAAATACTTCTTCGGCAAAACGGGGTTCGCTGTCCTAAAATATACAGGAAGAGTAGCTACCCCTCCCTCTCTTCCTTTTCCTACTCAATTTACCCCCTCCCTTTCCAACATATATCCATGCATACATATGTGTGCGTGTGCTTCAGTGTTAGCTCACTCCACAGTGTTCATACATACATACAGCTCAACTCACATACATATACATATAGATATATGCACTTAGCCCCGCCCCCTCGTCCCGTGTCCCTCACTTACAACAAACGCATAACGTTTCAATAAATTAATTAAAATTATTCGTTTTTTTTAAAACACATACATATATAGTAAAAAAAAACACTGTAAAGCATATACAGTAATAAATAAGTACGAATTAAATTTGGGCGTTAAATATTTAATTTGTTGTTCTGCTTTGTTGTATGTAGTTTTATTGTTGCTGCTGCTGCTGCTGCTGCTACTGCTGCTGCTTCAGAGTTACTTCGGATGTGATCGTTCCAATACCAGTTCCAGTTAAATTACGAACTGGTATCATTTGGATTCTAACTTCCATTACTCTGCGAGAGTGTGTGAGTGTAGTCGAGCGCTTAACTGCGAATGGGTGGATGTGTGTATGTGTGCTTGTGTGTGAGAGTGTTTCGCTGGTGGTGTTTTTCGCTTCTGTTGGTGGTGTTGGTATTGTTGTTGTTGTTGTTGGTGATGGTGGTGGTTCAAAAGCCAACCACTTAGAAGAGTTATGTAGCTGGACCAGGCGCCATGTTGAATGATATGGGCGAACCATTAACTACTTTTATAAAATGTTGTAAATTTGTAATCTCTTCTGTGGGTGTTAGAAGGACTTTCACGCATTCGCCAAACCATTTCGAATCAAAGCAGTCTTTCCTAAAAAAGCACACAAAAATAAATCAACAAAAATAAGATAACCAAATAAACAAAAATCAAGAGTATTAATAATGAAACCAAAAGGAACATATATGAAAATCAAGTTGAAATGAAAATGAAAGGCAGCTAGAAAGCGAAGCGTTTCGGTTTAATATTTGAATACAACGGGCTTGTGAAAGGGATAGGGCGAGCCATTGATAACTTTTAGATATTGCTGCAGCTGTTCAATCTCTTCATCATCGATCAGCAGCACCTTAAGGCATTCTCCGAAGGTCTGATGGGCGAAACAATTGGCCCTGCAGGCAAATAGATAAACAAGAAGATACAGCTAGCATACAGATAGATAGACAGATAGATAGTTAGTTAAGGTAGAAAAGTCAGCGAAGAGAAAACAAAGGAAAGCGGAAAGCAAAATAGAAAACAGCTAGATATTTGTTTTTCTGAAAAAGAAAATATTATTTTGTGTAATATTTCCTGAGTACTTAAAAAAAACCATGTCAGGGTTAGATTTCAAGCTAAAAAATATTTTCTTTCACGCTTTAGTATTATTTTGGCACAGCGGATTGCCTTGAACTGCTTTCAAATTGTTGTTTGAGGCTCGAGGACGTTTGCTCAAGGAAGTCGAAATGGAATGAAAATGAATTTGAGTTAGGCCTATGGATATATTAATGTTCTAGAAACTAAAAGTGAAATGAAATAGAAATGGAAATGGAACATGTGTAGTCATGATGTAATGTGCAAGAAGTCGAAGAAGAATGAAATGGAATAGAGGTATGATAATGCTAACTTTAAATGAGTTTTTGGAGTAAAGTGGAATCGGGATATACGTATGTAAGTGACACCAAGTGCAATGGACTGGAAATTGAACTCTTCAATGGTAAACTTACGCTTTATCAAATGAAAATGGAATGAAATGGAATTGAAACTAGAGATATGCTTACTCGATCACTAGATAAGTTTCATTTTGATTAGTTTGTATTACTTAACTATCTGTTGATAATTCAACTTACTTGCATAGTCGATGTATACTCGTCTCACGGAAAAGTTGATAACAATCCTCACAGATGCGATCCAGGCGAAAGAACATGGTCTTGTTGAAGATGCCCTTGCATTCCAGATCGAAGAAATTACTGCGCTTCGACAAATTGTGATTATGTGGCAACGCTGTGAATATGGGTATCAAAACAAGAAACAGCACCACCGAGATCTTTATGTTGCGGGAACACATCTGCAAAGAAACAAGAAGAATATATTAGTTAAATGTCGAATAAATGTCAGCGTCAAGTCAATTAACAAAATTCGCCATCCTTGCTAGCTTCAATAAAACGAATTCATCTATAAATTCTACCAAGAATATCAAATGAAAACCGCTTTGCTTTAGTATTTTCTGGTATACAAACAAAAAGTCGTTTTTATTTCGCTCAGTGCTTTTGATTATGCTTAAGTAGTTGAGTACCGGAAATAGCTTAAAAATAGCACGATTTACTGTCTGGCCGAGAGCTATTTATAGAGCGAGTCGTTACAATTAAGTTCTGCTTTAGCTGGCTGCTGCCTTAAACCGCTTACTGGGTAAATAGATATGGGCCAAGTAGAACCTTGAAACCGCAAAAAAGGCCCGACAGGCCAGTCACTAACTCAGCGAGTGCGAGCGAGACCGTCAGAGGGAGGGAGGCAAGGTATGGTATGGGAGGGGGAAGCAACCTCAAGGCAAAGTGCGAGTACTTGTGGTACGTCTATCTATAAATAGATCCTGTCTGCAACTGCAACTGCAAACTGCGAGCTAAAAATAAAATTGCATTTCGTGTTGATCTTGCTTTATCTGGCTGCCCATCTGCATTCGGCATCTTCATAAAGGTGTCTACAGACATGCCTCTCTTTCTCTCTCTCGCTCTCGCTCTATAAATAAACCGCGCGCGCAATTTCAATGTTTATTGCATTATTTGCAAATCTGTCTGTCGACTTGGCTAATTTACGAGTACAACTGGGCTCAAAGGCGAGCCGCAATCCCACAACAAATCGCATGGTCACACTTAAGCACACACAGACACAAATGCATGCAGCTTAGTACGCACATTTGTATATATGTGCATGTGTGTGTATTGTTTGTGTGCGCAGACAGGCCCCCAAAATAATAATAAAAATAAATTAAATGAATAATAAAATTCGTTTGTTGTTGCTGTATTTGCATATTTTTATCAATTTGCGTGGTCCGCTTCAGTTTCAATTACGTTCGGCGTCGACATACATTCCAAACTATTGAATAATTTGATTAAAATTGTAAATTTTTCCATTGCGCTGGTGCGGCTTTGCTTCTGCATGTGCCAATTGCTTAAAAAAAAATAAATATAAATAAAACGGCAGCAGCAACAACAACAACAATGCAGAAAAATGGCGTGTGTGAAAATTTCGCGTGCTTGCTTGCGTGTATGTGTGTGTGTGTGTGTTTGTGAAAAATGAATGAAAATTCAAAGCAGACACAGCGTCGCTGTTCCGAACAACAACAATAAAAACAAACATGTGAACAATTTGTTGAAATATTTCTTTCGAATTTTCGTCTTTTCGGTTCTCTATGAGCGCTTCGCTTAGCACCTCCCGCGTCGTTAGCGTCAATCGCTGCTTCGTGCCATATACTCAATGAGATCTATACAAAACTGTGCTTGTGTGCGTGTGTGTGTGTGTGTGTGTGTGTGTGTGTGAGTTTATATAAATTGATTTTTTATTGGCTTGTTGATGCCTTCAATTAAGTTGAGCGCATTTCTGTTGTCGTAGCTTTTGATTTATGGCCAATGGGCTTGGCTGTAAAGTAAGAAAAAGTTCATCAATCAGTTTTTGGCAAATGTTGCTGTTGTTGTTGTTGGTATGAGCTCAGTGCGCAACTCAACAGTTGGCCAAACCAAAAAAAAAAAAATTATAGTCCATTCTATTATATATGTATGTACATCTATATAATATATTATTTGCTGGCTTTATTTAGATACGTATATACTGTAATTAGCTAGCAGCTGCCGAGCGCGACACGTGAGTGCCACTAAAATACTAAATTAAATACAAATAACTAATTTGACGTAACACACCAAATAATGCGCTGAGTGTTTGTCAGAAAAGTGCAAAGTTTTAATACTGGCGCCACTGGAACAGCTGAACGCGCAAGATATACATTTTTTTCGATTTTTTATTTGCCTTTTTATTTTACTTGTATGACGCGTATAGTTTACTTTGCCGAAGAGAGTTAACAGGAGCAGCTGTTACGCTGTTACACTGTCTCGCATTACCCACAGCGACGACCTCTGCGCAGTGTCAGGCCGCTAATTGGATTCGAATTGCACGATTTATGGCCATCGAACAGGCGAAGAGTTTCGAGAACGAGTTCAAATTCGAGTTCGAGTTCGAGTGTCGCTGCATTTATTTTTAAACTGGCACTGCCGGCCGCATAAATTGCATAATCGATATAAAGTATGAGACGGATATTGCGAGAGAGAGAGAGAGGGAGAGAGCGAGAGAGAGCAACCGCTGTAGCTGTGTTAACAGTTAACGGCGGCTGCTGGCGTCATTCAGAGCCTGGAAACGATTTTGTGGAATATGTGGAACGATTGATCGATGGATCCATTCGATTTATCGTCAACCCCATCAAAAGCATGTGCTGGCAATTTGTTTGCATTGTGCTTTGATTAGCTGCCAATTGATTTTATTTGTCGGTCTGCCGCTTTGTATCAATTTAAATAACTGTCAGTCTGTCATACATACAAGTAGACGCATTATCAAGCTAAATAAAAAGCTATATGACAGGCACACACACACTCACACACAGCTATAACTGAATCATTGGCGCGAGTCGCGCATGCCACGCAATTTGCCATGTTTCAGCTCAAGTCCGTCGTTTTGCCTGATTGTAAACTATTCAACTTTGATTTTGATTGCTTTTTGCGTATATGTGTTTGTCTGTGTGTGTGTGTGTGTGTGGCTGTGCCTGCTGCCAGGCGACATTGAATGAAGTCATGAGCCAAAAATAATGACAAACAATTATAACGAAATCTTTTTGTATTCTTTTGTGCGCAATAGTTTTAAAAGAATTTCACACACACGACAAGAATTATTATTTATATGTATATACATGGCGTTAAATAGATATTTAAACTAAGTGTCTACCTTATCAGCAGGCGCCTAAATTTAGGCTGGAATGCGAGCTGTTATCTCAACCAACACCTGTAATTATATGGCTTTAACAGTGAGTGACAATGAAATGAGTGCAAAGCTGCGATCGAAAATCAAGCGCGTGCATAGTAACATGCAACGTGCATATACATACATATGTATATACCATATAAATACATACATACTTCTAAATGTATGTGCCACAACTTAACGCTTGGCTACGCAAGCATAGCAAAACATGAGCATTTGCTTGTGCTGTTAAGCTACAGTTTACCATTCTCTGTTAAATTAAAATCCTAAAATCTCTGTAAGCCTAAACTTCTCTGTTAAATTAAAATCCCCAAACTCTTTAAGGCTATTTGACTTTATGCATAGTCCTAACATTTTTAGCATTTGCGCACTGTTATATTGTCCGACTGTTAGGCGTGCGTTTGGCATATCTTAATAATAAACATGTAAATGTTTGTGATGCTACTGGAAACTAAGAACTGTTAAAGCAACCCACTTTAGTTGTTAAAACAGCTCTCGAGACTGCATGGTACCATGGCCACTCACTACAATCAACAACAGCAACATAAACACGACTTGGCGAGACTGCTTGGTACCAAATAAACTGGCACAGCGATGGTTGGCCGTTGGCTCCCCTTTTGTTGTTGTTGGCGGTGGTGGCGATGTTGCTGCTGCTGCTGCTGCTGTTGGCCTGTTGCGCTTGCGTTAAACGGTGCTGTTAATTTACTAGACATGCGGCATTTGCATTTCGTTGCAACTGGATACCGCTTGTAGCTAGCGCATTTTAATATGCAATTTAATATGCATTAAATTCTGTGTGGCATCAAATTAATAGCGCAGCTCAGCCGCAGCAGCAACAGCAGCAGCTCAGCAAAGGCAAAATGGCGGCAGGTGCTGTAAATGTTCCACGCTCGTTTAACAGCACTGACCATAGGATGAGCGTGCATAACATGTAAACGTGTGTGTGTGTCTATGTGTGTGTGTATTAATTTCGCTCACTTTGGCTATCGCCTGCTGCTTTTGATGCGCCTTTCTATGGCTTCCAGCTGCGCTGTCGACGCCGCCGCTGGCATCGCTGTGCCGTTCAAGCTGCATGATGCGCATCAATTGGCTGCTGAACTGTTATTGTTGTTGTCGTTTGTTGATCTGTTTGGATTGATCGTGTGGCTCGTGTGCGCGCGTATTGTATCCAATTAGTATTTATTAAGATTAATAGTTGCACGTTTCGTAATAGATCGTAAAAAAATTTATGTGTGCTATAACTGGTAATTTAAATAACAACACACATATGCATAACCGCCTATATGAGTGTGTGTATTTGTATGCCCTTAAGTATTTCTTTTTCTTTTTTTTTTTTTTTTGTTTGTTATCAAGTTGTTTGCTTTTTCACTTCTTTGCTAACGTCAACACGAAATGTTGTTTGAAGAGTGTTGAAAATCATCAAGCAAATAGCAACGAAATTTCTACAACAACAGCAACAATGTTTGAGTAGTACTAGTGTTAGCTAATGCCAAACAAAACACCCGCGCGCGCAATCAACGTTTGTTGCCAACAAAAATAACACTGAAGATCGCAAAACTGTTGAGGTTGCCAGACAACAAATGCTGCGACCGCTGCTGCGGCCTGCTGCTGCTGTTGGTGCTGCTGTTGGTGCTGTTGTCTTTTTCTTATCAGCGCACACACACTCACATGCACTCATACATTTTTGTGAGAGGCAGCGACGACAGCGAGTCTGGCGCGGAGGCAGTGCAGCCAACCGAACCGAAGCGAAGCAAAGCGTAGCCAACCTGCTCGCCCGCCCGCCTTTCCCTCTGTTGTGTGTGTGTGTGCGTAATCGAGTACATCTACACACACACACACACACACACACACACAGGCGGACGCACAGTATTGCACCTATTTTAGATGCAGCGTGGTATGGCTAGGCGTATACGTGATATGCATTATAAAATCACGCTTATCATTTGAGTCAAGCCAACTCAAACCAAGCCAAGCCAAGCCGCAGTCAAACTTATACTTTTATTTATTATTATTACTATCATTATTTATTATTGTTTTATTGTGTCC